GTTCCAATTGAAACGGTTTATCCGGTTTTTCCCCTCCCCCCGCAGCTTGGATCCAAGCCGCGGCAGCTACCCCAGCCATGGCCGGACTCTAGGGAGTCCAGCCATGGCTGAGGTAGCCGCCGTGGGTCAGATCCAAGCTGCGAGGGGAGGGAAAAAAACGGATAATCCGTTCCAGTTGGAACGGATTAACCGGTTTTCAATGCATTCCTATGGGAAATGGTGCTTCACATAACGATGTTTTCACATAACGGTTTTTTTTTCGGAACCAATTAACATCGTTATGCGAGGCACCACTGTACTTCAAACAACAATAGAACATGGTTTATATTCTGGGGAGGCAAGAAAAATGGAAAATTAAAATCTCAAAGGTTTTTATGCTTTCAAATGTAGAATATTAAGACTATATAGGGGGTGTTAAAATATTCACCAAAAAGTAAGCAGTGTTGGTAGGAAAAAGGACTTGGTTATTCTCAGAAAGTATTGTTGTCCATGGAATGAAATTGATTCATTCTGTTTCCACAGAGACACCTGTTTCTTTTTTGTGCCCAGTCATACATTTTGTTCATCCTTGCAGCTCTCCATAGTGAAGTTTGTTTTATCATGTCTCTTTTTTCATCAGGAAATTTTCTCAGTAACTAGCAAATTTAATCTGGACTAGTGGAAGTCCTTAACTTTCAGTAGGTATTGTGCATGGTTTAGAATTCAATATGTTGTTTATTCCTAGAGAATGCAGAAATATTTCCCCTTCTCATCCTGTTCCCTTCACAGCATGTGGACTAACAAATGAAACAAGAATGTGAATTAACAAAATGCCCTCCAAATTGTCAGCATGCAGACAACAGCTCAGCTGTAAAGAAATGATGTAGAAGAATTGTGGCCAAAAAATTCAATTTGGATTCCTCTTCAGCAGTTCAGAAAGCAGCCTGAATTTATTTCAACTTCTTCAGATGCTGCCTAATTCAGCTTGTGATCAAATTAGAACTTCATTTTAGAAAGTTCAAAACTGCGTGCATCTCCAGTAACCATTACAAAATCAATACATTACTATACTTTTCAACAGCATTTCATACACTTTTCTGCTACATGGTAGCATTTGCAACCTGGGGTGATTGTCTCAGACTGCAGTCACACCAGGGAAATGTTACCCACTTCTAACCATACTTTCCATACCTTTGTTGTAATGCTTTGTGGTCATGTGGTATATATACCTGGATGAGCATTTCAGTGTGTTTTAACATTAATGGTCAGTTTTTTTTCCTTTAAACAATTATGGCCATGTTACTGATTTGTTTTCTCCCATTTTATGGGGCACTGCAGCCCCTTAACTTATTTTTTTTTTAAATTAAACAATGCATCAATATGTCAGGTAGTGTTTCCTGTATCCTGATGGGCAGAATTTCCTCTGTTGTACTGGTGCCTTTGGAAGCAATGCATTGCACTCAATGGATTCAGCACTCCCACCCAGGGTTGTGTCACTAAACAGTTGGTGGAGTGATGCAATATCTCCCAATGCCTTTAAAGCTGTTGGCACAAATTTATTAATGCACAAATTTATTAAAACACAAATTCATTAATGCAGCAGCAGCAACAGCAGCAGCAACACCTCCCACTTGAGCCAAGTATGTAGTGAACTTTTCTGAGAAGCAGTATGATAAAACAATGAATGAACATCTACCAGTGTTGGTAATTTGTGAAAATAACTAATTTAGCTGAAACCTGTTTAGCTCTGAATATGTTCCCACAATAGAAATTTCACTTTATACCACAGACTGTTTTTTCATCCATCTTCATGCTTGAATCCTGCCCAGACTCAACTCTACACTACCTTCAAAATGTGATTCTCTATAGCCTTTCATATTATCTCAGAAGGAGCTAGTGACTGACAACCTCAAAAAACAAAAAACAAAACAAAACAAAAAAACTTCTACTGTATAAAGCAGATAAAGCAGCACAACTTCATTAGCTGATTACGAACTACAACTATTTTGGTAGTTTATTTTCCAGATTATCAACAGACAATAAGTGTTCCTATAGTTATTAAACATTATGATATTAATGTGTGGGTTTCTCTCATGGTATTGATGGACATTTGCATTTTCAGCATCATTTTGCTTCTGGTTATCAGGATGTGGAATCCCAGAACATTCTCTAAACTTATAACCAGAGCCTTCATTAGGGTGCAGTGATTGGGGCTGTGACCCAGGATGCCAAATCTAGAGAGCACATAAATTTCCTGTTGAAAGGGAAGTGGACCCATCCATTGTCATTCACTGGCGGAAGGGAGCAGCCCTCCCCACCCTGAGCACAACTAGTACTTCCAGCTGCTCTTCACCAGGCAGAAGCAAACAAAACAGGTAGGCTCAGTACAAAACCAACATGGTCACAATGTGCTCAGATGCAGGCATTCCTCCCTGGTCCTCCATACTCTCCCGATATATGCCAATTACATGGGAGCCAAGCTTCACCAACAGGTTAGCAAAGCCCCAGGTGCTAAAACCCCGGGTAGGTGGGGCTCGTTAGCCTTGG